TATCTAACGTATTTTTTTGAAAACTGGAAGTAAAGAGACCATTCGTTAGGCAATGTGTATTTATCCACAGCTTATTTCAACGAAGCAGTAAACAACTCAGATAAACATATACTTAGTGTTTAGTGTTATGATGATTAGTGAACATAATGAATTCAAAAGGATGTGGAAATGGCCGTGGCCTATTATGACATATACCTTTTGGGGGCAGAGAAAAGCCTCGAGAACCTTCAGCCAGTAGAGCAGGTCTCTTGGCTATAGGTTTGGATTCAGGTATGTGCAGATGGGACAATTAGTATTTTAAAAAATTAAATAATATATATATTAAAAATTACGGTGTGTGGACATAGGCGTCAGGCTTCATGCTTTCTAATCCCTGCAGTTAACTGGAGGTAAGCGGTAACTCAATTTCTCATTCATTTCCCGTGTATTCTCGAAAATATAATGCAATCGATTTCGACAAGAAGTCGTCTTAACCATACAGTCGTTCTGGGTCTAAGTGGCAACGAGAAAATTCTTTGTGCATTTCTTGGTAACCTCAGTCAACGGATTTCAAACGTAACCGTCATTCTGAGAATCCTCGTTAAGATATAAATTTAAGCAGACTACTTAAGCCAGGGACAGCTTTTGGCTTAGTAGCATGCATAAGAAACTCTATTGCTAACTAACTAACTAACTAACTAACTAGATGGCTTACCGAACCCGAAGGTTCATCACCGAATTAACCAAAACCCTCCACCAGACCATGTCCTGGGCCAACAAAATTCAGTCTCCTTCAGCTCCCATCTACGTCTAGGTCTCCCCAGAGGTCTCTTCCCCTCAGGCTTCCCGACCAACACCCGGTGCACTCTGTTGCTTGCCTTGTTATATTATCACACAATTAAATTACTTCAAATTCATAAAATTTAATGTTATTTTTGGAAGGATTGTGATATGAACATCAAAATGTTGTTCTTCATTCTGATAATCGGACATAAAAATACAAAAACTGACCATAAAATAAGAAGGATTTTCAGAGATCACAAATATGAATTCAACAGAAATTTAAACCACTCATAAAATAAATGAGAGAAGATTCCGAAACCAGAAATGCGTATAGAATATTACACCTCCTTCCCTGTCTTCAGTTTGTTTACGCCACAAAAGACGCAATGACTAAACTTATTGATAAAATATAACGTATTTCCTCAGTTCCCCCTTTGGGTGCTTTTGAGGCAGCACAAAGGAAGATGTCGGTACACGA